TGCAGGATCTATATCATCAACTGTAGCAAGCCCCTGAAAGTAGGGCTTAGTGACTGCTGTCATGGTCTAAAGAAGGGGTCTGAGTGGTTAGTCGGAGTATCCTTTTCTAGTACCTATATCAGTACTCCTCTGAATTAGGGTCCCACTTTAGGTCCCCAGTATACTACGTCTCCCTTGAAAGCAAGGACCCTACAGGGACCCGAATTTAGAGAACTACCCATATTATGATACTGTCAAGCTCCGCATCAGGGCGGTCTGGTTTTTGCAGCCCTGGCCCGAACCACCAGGGGGTAGAAAGATCGAAGCCTCAGCAGTTGCCAAAGCGATTCCCTTAGGATTCTTGATTACTCTTATATTGCAATATGAACCGACACCGCTCTTCCAGAGTTAGAAAGGCCCTCATATCAAGTGTAAGGATTCAGACGTCAGGGTTTATGTGCGGAAGGGCGTGGGGAAACTATAATGCAAATCTTCTTCCCTGAGCAATCGTCTACCGGCTTCCGATTGCTGCTTGGGGAGAAAAGCTACACCCTGAACCGAAGCCCCAACACCCTAAGCCCTACAAGCTCAACCAGCCCTGGAATCCGGAAGATCAGCCCGCTCCGTTAGGCCTTCTACGATGGCCTTCTCAAGAGTGGCATTGAGGAATCAACGGAGCTGTGTCTTTCTTTGGCTGTTATTTTGGAGATGGGTGTGTTTAGGATCTAGGGCTTGAGGTCAAAAATTAAAATCAGGCATAAGGGTACTATGAGGTTCTGGATTTAGGGCTTGTGCTTCAGGGTTTTGAGCATGATCTCTCTGCCACCCCAAACCCTGAGTCAAAAGAGAACAGGGCTAAACCACGCTAAACCTCTGACTCGAAAGCAATGCTTGGGGTGTAGGAGTCTAGGGTTAAAGTTATTGGTGTTTGATTGAAGGTTTAAGGTGCTAGTCGGAGGTCTTATGTGGCTGTTGCGGTTCCAACTTGTGGAAAGTCTGTGCCGGATGCTTGTGTCCGTTCCTCGAACGTGGTGAAATGGACTCTTGTAGCTCCGGATGTGCGTATAGTGCTAGTATGGTACAACATACCCGAAACGCCCCAAAAGCCGGACGTCAAGCTCTTAATACTAGATCTGATACTGGCTTCATGCGTGTCGATTTATGAAGTCCCCGTCTTGAAGGGCCTCAATTTCAGGATCTTATCCTTCTTGGAGTGAGGACACTTATCAATCAGTGGTCTGCACAAGCCTTCAACCTCAATATCGAAGACCCACTCCCAGGCCCATGGGTGCGTCAAGCAAGGATCGGAACTGCGAGTTTTCTTAGAATCAACTACCCATGATGCTGATGCTTTATAATCCGCAATCCCAAACCCTAGAATCCTAGAGCCTAACTTTCAAGCTCTTTCAACCGAAGCCCTACACCCCAAATTGATCACCAGAGTGTTCGCAATATAGAATCCGGAAGATGTCGTGATGCTGGTGCTTTATTTACCCCGAAACCCCGTTCTAGTTATTTTACAAGGCCCTGCTATTAAGTGCGCCACGTGTTTCAGCAGGACGATAAGCGAACGGCCCCACAGGGCGTGCCCGGAGCTTGGTTCAGGTTCTGGGGTGTGGGGTTTAGGGTTGTGTATCAAATATCCATAAATGCTATAGGTTCAAACCGGAAGAGCTACAAGGAATGTATGGGGTGCGGAGCAGGGCCCGATACCATCATAGCTCCGGAGACCAAGAGTCAGCAGAAAGGAGAGACCTTCCAGGGTTTAGGGTTTAGGGTTTAGGGTTTAGACCTTCCAGGGTTTTCGATGCACTGCGGAGGCTTCTCCGCACCGGTCAGGTGTCGTTTCCCGAGCTGGCACACTAAACCTGAAGCACCCAAGCAAGCACAGCTGAGATTTCTTGGGTCTTCTGGTGGCTGTTTTAAGGTATGATTCATGTTGAAGCAGATATGGGTAGTTGTCAAAATTATGGTCCCGTTTGGGGTACCCTAAATAATAGGTGCCGTATTATAATAAGGACCCAAAAAGGGACCATGATTTTGACAACCACCCATATACGTACAGGCTTCCTTGAACAATCCTTTCTCGCATCACGACTCCGAAGGCCTCAAGAAGCCCTCTCAACCTCAAGAGACGGAACTAAAATGTAGGGTCGTCCTTAACAATTCGAATGAGGTTCTGGGACAATATACGGTTTTTCATAATCGTATGAAGGCGCCCTTTAGGATAAAATACTAGGCCCATCTAAGCAGCCAAAGGCCCCCTCTAAGAGCTAAACCCTTGTGAAACCCAAGGCCTTGGCCCAATTCAAAGTGCCCGATCGCTTTCGTCAATGTGGATGCCCAGGCAGTCGAGAAGCGGATATGGGTTTAGGGTTGAGGGTTTTAGGGTTTAGGGTTCTTCAGGGTGTGTAGCGTCCGGGTGCCCAGGTTTGCGTCGAAATTTCTGTCTTCACCTTCCTGCCCGGCACCAACGCTAGATTGAGCATAGTCGTTAAACAAAAGACCTTGGTCAAGACCGCGACACTGCAAAACTTAGACACTCGAAACCCCCACATATCAACCAGAAGCAAGTTTGTCGAAGCTTTGCACCCTTACAGTCGTCAAGCACAGACAGACTCACAAACTCATGAGAAGAAAGATAAAAATAGGTATCGTGCAAGCACCGAGGCTGGAGGAAGACAAAGGACCACAAACAATCCGCAACCCTAAACTCTACAGCTTGTAAGACGAAAGTCTCCTCACTAAGCCCTTCATCCCGGATTCTAACTCCTCACCCTAACCCCAGGGCCTTATCCCGAAATTCCGAAGCCTAGATGCAAAGGCAGGTCAGAAGCCCTGTGCCTGCGACAGGAAGAGCTTGAAGGTGACTCCAAGGCGCGATCGACTTTGTCCTGGGCCTGGGTAATCATTTTTTGGGGGGGTGTAGGACAGTGTAGGATTTGGGGTTTACTGTTTTTTGAGTTTTTGTTGTCTAAACCCCCTTAAGAGCCCAAGGGCTTATGGAAAATCACATGTTTCAAAGGTAAGGAGCTTACAGTGTCTTGACATGGTGCTTCAGGTAGCCTTAGTAGGGTTTAGAGCTGGGGGGGGATTGGGTTTCCTTAGCTGAGACTTCAACGCAGATCATAGGCTCTAAACCCTAAACCGTGGGCGCCCTTCTTTTCTGGCGGGGAAGGTGCCAGGTGTGGGCTCTTGGATGAGCCAAGGTCTGGGATCCAAATAATACCTACCTTAAGAACCCAAAACCTACTTTTTTGTAGGGTCCCTATGAAATCCCATATTAGGGTTTATAGTTTAGGGTTTAGGGTTTAGGGCCTATGATCTGATAAGAACCTACAAAAAAGTGGTTCTGGGGTTCTTAAGGTAGGATGTAAGGTTTTCGGCTCTGCGCTGTTACGGTTTGGGGCTAAGGCTTAGACCCAGAGACTCCAATACCCCTTAATTAAGGAATATACCTTAAAGTATAGTAGGATCCCTAATATGATTTAAGGTATATTCCTTCATTAAGGGGTATTGGAGTCTCTGGGGAGCTAGAGGGTTTGGGTTGGGGGCTGAAAGGCTTGGTGTTTAGGATTCAGGTTTGGGGCTGGGAGGTTCAGATCTTGGGATTAGGGCTTTAGGGTTTTAGGCTTTAGGGCTTTAGGGTTTTAGGGTTTTAGGGTTTCAGGGTTTTAGGGTTTCAGGGTTTAGGGTTTTAGGGTTCTAGGGTTTCAGGGTTTACGGTTTTAGAGTGGTAGATGGCTCCGAGGCATCCGAAGTGTCGTCGATCTGGCTACGTCGGACTACAAGACTCATGGCCCGTAACCTTAAGCCCTAAACCAACGACGGCGGCACGTGCTACACTCTGGAAAAGCGCATGCGGGCTTTTTACCGATGTATCGAGGGCTTTCATTCCTTGCAGATTCAGATTTGGAACTTCTTGGCTGCAAGCCGAAAAGACTCCCAACCCCAATCCCACCTGCGCCGGACGTGAGGCCAACACGGTGGAAGCCCAGATGGTGGCCAGCTTGGTTGGCAAGGCCTGCAGACTGTGATCCAAAGAAGCTTCGGTTTGTATTGCGTTTTGTAGAGCCCAGTAAAGCCAATGTTCAGCAAGTCTGCCGTCTCTTCCACGTCTTGCACGGGACAGAAATCCACACCACAAAAAAAAACAGAGAGGACGGACCTACATCCGGAGGACCAAATTCGCAAGGGCCGCAAGGTTGAGGTTTTCAAGCCTCTGGTAGGGTTGCAGGGCTTTACAGGGTTTTCTATGACATTATCGGGTTTTCGGGCTTTGCAAACCGTACACCCTAAATTCTGGGAGTTGCAGAGTTGCATCCCTGTACCAGCATCTCCCTGCAGGTCCTCGGATATGGCGAGCTCTCGGTGAGCCAGGTACGGCGCTGGGGGCATTCTGGTTGTTGGGTTACTATAGTCCCTATATAGTCCCAAATTCCCAAAGGTTAGTTAACTTTGTGTTGCTGTGGGAAACCGGACAAGCGAGACACGTTCTTTTGTAGCTTCATGTCGCGTCGGGAGCCCTAAACTCTAATTCAGGGCTCATCCGATTTCAGGATGCTGATGCAATGTTGCAAACCAACTAACCGGTGTGAGAGCCCGAATACCGCTGCCAAGGCTCCCAGAGACTCTTTCTCACCTAAACTCCGGGCCCCGTGTCAAGGAGTTCTGCTTAGAGCCTTAGGGCCATACTTGGAGGTTCATGGGTAGTTATAAGTAGGGTAACTATAGTTATGACCCATATTAGGGGACTTATGACCCCACTAATAACTACCCATGAACCTCCAAGTAGTCGAAGATCATTCCTTGCTTGAGTCCCTCAGGTGGGTGTGGTAACCCCCTACGTGGCGCAGGCGGGGGCCCATGGGAGACTTAGGGGCCGGGGGGACTTCAGAGAAGTCGTGGAGGCTTAGAGTTTAAGGTTTAGGGTTTAGGGCTCGGGGTTTAGAGCTGGGTTTTGGGGTTGGGTGTTGGGTTTAGGATTTAAGTTTAGGGTTTGCGGCTCGTTGGCAGAAAGCCCTGATTCTTGCGTCAGCTTCCACACTACGAAAGTCTGCAAAGGTCGGCACGAAAGTCCCCGACCACTGATGGACTGAATCCTTCCCTTTTGAACCCTGAACCCATAGGAGGGGGGAGTACCCTGAACTCTAAACAGTCGGAATTACGGTATACTCTTTATGCTGATGAGCCAAGGGTCTTGTCCGCAAAGACCACGTGGCCCTTACATTTACTCGACCGCAAGCCCTGAACCCGAAACCTGGGTCATTTCCTCAAAAAGATATACAGGGTTCTGAATCATCAGCAATTGTATCCCTTTTTTTGTTATGCTAAAACCCAAATAAAGATTTAAAAACGATCATTTTTACTATAGCCCCAACAG